TCCAACACTTCTCTTCAAAGGTTAAGCTTTGCATTTACCCCTTCTTGAGTTTCATCTATCAACACTATATCGTCTGCGAAAAGCATACACCAAGGAATATCATCTTGAATATGTCCTGTTAACTCATCCATTACCAACGCAAAAAGGTAAGGACTTAAGGATGAGCCTTGATGTAATCCTACAGTTATGGGAAAGCTTTCGGTTTGTCCTTCATGAGTTCTTACGGCAGTCTTTGCTCCTTCATACATATCCTGTATAGCTTGGATATATGCTACTCGTACTCCTTTCTTCTCTAAAATCCTCCAAAGAATGTCTCTTGGGACCCTATCATACGCTTTTTCCAAATCTATAAAGACCATGTGTAAATCCTTTTTCCCATCTCTATATCTTTCCATCAATCTTCGTAAGAGATAGATTGCCTCCATGGTTGAGCGCCCTGGCATGAACCCGAATTGGTTGTCCGAAACCCGTGTCTCTTGCCTCAATCTATGCTCAATGACTCTCTCCCAGAGCTTCATTGTATGACTCATTAGCTTAATACCCCTATAGTTCATGCAATTTTGTACATCGCCCTTATTCTTGTAGATAGGCACCAAAGTGCTCGTTCGCCACTCATTTGGCATCTTCTTCGTTTTCAAAATCCTATTGAAAAGGTCAGTGAGCCATGTTATACCCGTCTCTCCCAAAACTTTCCACACTTCGATTGGTATATCGTCTGGGCCTACTGCTTTTCTATGCTTCATCTTCTTCAAAGCTACAACCACTTCTTCCTTCCGGATTCTACGATAAAAAGAGTAGTTTCTACACTCTTCTGAGTTACTCAACTCCCCTAAAGAAGCACTCCTTTCATGTCCTTCATTGAAAAGATTATGAAAATAACCTTTCCATCTGTCTTTAACCGCGTTCTCTGTAGCAAGAACCTTTCCATCCTCATCCTTGATGCACCTCACTTGGTTTAGGTCCCTTGTCTTCTTTTCCCTTGCTCTAGCTAGTTTATAGATATCCAACTCTCCTTCTTTGGTATCTAGTCGTTTATACATATCGTCATAAGCCGCTAACTTAGCTTCTCTCACAGCTTTCTTCGCCTCTTGCTTCGCTTTTCTATACCTTTCACCATTTTCATCGGTCCTATCCTTGTATAAGGCTTCACAACATTCCTTCTTAGCCTTCACCTTTGTTTGTACCTCCTCATTCCACCACCAAGATTCCTTTTGGTGTGGGGCAAAGCCCTTGGACTCTCCTAATACCTCTTTTGCTACTTTTCGGATACAACTAGCCATGGAATCCCACATTTGGTTAGCTTCCCCCTCTCTATCCCACACACACTGGGTGGTTATTTTCTCTTTGAAAATGGCTTGTTTTTCTTCTTTTAGATTCCACCATCTAGTCCTTGGGCACTTCCAAGTCTTGTTCTTTTTTCTCACTCTTTTGATATGTACATTCATCACCAACAAGCGATGTTGATTAGCCACGCTCTCTCCTGGTATAACTTTGCAATCCTTACAAGTTATACGATTCCTTTTCCTCATTAGAAGAAAATCTATTTGTGTTTTTGACGACCCACTCTTGTAGGTGATCACATGTTCTTCCCGCTTCTTAAAGAAGGTGTTGGCTAAGAAGAGATCATATGCCATTGCAAAATCCAAGATAGCTTCCCCATCCTCGTTTCTCTCCCCAAAACCATGGCCACCATGAAAACCTCCATAGTTGCCTGTCTCCCTGCCCACGTGTCCATTTAAATCTCCTCCTATAAATAACTTCTCCGTCTGAGCAATTCCTTGCACCAAGTCTCCAAGGTCTTCCCAAAATTTCTCCTTCGAACTCGTATCCAACCCTACTTGAGGTGCGTACGCACTAATCACATTGATAAGTTCTTGTCCTATTACAATCTTGATTGCCATGATTCTATCTCCTACCCTCTTGACATCTACAACATCTTGTGTCAAGGTCTTGTCCACGATGATGCCAACACCGTTTCTCGTTCTATTTGTGCCCGAATACCATAGTTTAAACCCTGAGTTTTCTAGATCCTTTGCCTTACGCCCAACCCACTTAGTTTCTTGTAGGCACATAATATTTATCCTTCTCCTCACCATAACTTCTACTACTTCCATAGATTTTCCCGTCAAGGTTCCTATATTCCACGTTCCTAAACGCATTTTGCTCTCTTGAACTCTACCCTTCTGTCCTAGCTTCTTCACCCTTCCCCGTCTAATAGGATCAAAGTACTTCTTTTGTGTGTCCCGTGTAAAGTTGATAGGAGCATATGCTCCCAAACAACTTTGAGTGGAGTCGTTCGAAAAGAAGTTTCTATAGCCCCCTTGCTCATTTAACACTGCATCTGGGTGCCGATGGAGATACAGCGACCCTTGCTCACTTATCACTGTGCTCGGGCCGCACAGCGCGCCACTTACGGGTGACGCCCTAGCTTTAGCGAGATTTCGTTCTGGATTCATTTTCATAAGGATTCGACGTGATCATGGAGTGCCGGCTGTCGACTACCTGACGCCCTCCCCCTCCTCCTTTATCCGGGCTTGGGACCGGCAATGTAAGATAAACTTACACGGCGGAGTTTATTTACTTAACCAATACAAGTTCTAAATTGTTGCCATTTTACCTGGAACGAAGTGGAGAGGAAGGAATCACATTATGTAGGCATTGAACTGAAGGGGAACTGGGGATGAGATGAAAGTTAAGGCCGATTGATTTGTAGATTCTGTGTGAAGGAGAAGGATTTGCAGAGTCTGTGAGAATGTGTGAACTCGACTGAAAACTTGAGTTGAGACCTACCTATTCGCAGTGTGTGTGAAATTTGAAGGGGAAGGATTTGCAAATTCTGTTTCTGCGTGACTTGAGAATTGAGATGAGAGGCGAGAGAGACAAAGAGAGAGGGAAATAGCAAAATTTGGGGAAAATATAGAGAGAGCCTAGGGTTGAAGAGAGGCTCGGTTCGATTGGGAAAGGGAGAGCCAGAGACAAGAGAGGCGGAGGAATTGTGGAGAGGTTGGGTTTGAATGGGGAAACATAGAGATGCGGAATGAAGGAAATGAGGAGAGAGAGGCGTGAAGATTGAAGAAAGTGTTTTGTTTAAAACATTATTTTAAACAAAGGGCACAAAAAATCTACCTTTACTTTAAATATATTAAATTGTAGGACACAATTACAATTACAGTGTCATTGCAAATTAATAAAAAAAATTTCATTGCTAACATTAAAGCCACCAAAGAAGAAAGACACAAATCCATAATTGTGCCAACATATTCTTTTGCTATAGAGTGATTTATTATTTATTAATATTTATTGGACACAATTTCGAACGTTTGTGTCATAAAAAATAATTTTTAATTACTAAGATATATTGTCTATCTGAAGACCTAATGGGACGTACAGTGATTATTATTTATTAATATTTAATGGACACAATTTCTAATATTTGTGTCAAAAAAAAGAATTTGTAATTATTAACTCATCCGTATATCTGAAGACCGATTAACTTTTGCGCGAAGACCAATGACCCGAAGGGGACAATTGTTGGTTATGTGTCATGCAGGAAGGACTTTTAATATAGTAAAAAATAAATAAACACTTACGATAATGTCAAAAACCATATCACCAAGTATCAAAACAAACCTGCTAACAATCTAAAAAGCAGTTCAAAAAGATACGAATCTAACAAACATTCATTGCACATGGAAATGATTCATTGTAAATCTAAAACACGCTACTTAATACTACAGTGTAGTAGTATTCTTATTTACTTGTAAGTGACAGATCTAAGGTTTGGTTGTCGCCAAAAATGATTTTGAACAACAGTATTGCTAACATATTTTGAGGCTATAACACTGCACAGTAATAAACAGCTCCATACCATTATTTACCACAATTTTATAAATTTAATTTTTTGGTCTGCTAGAGGTCAAGACAAACGAAAAAACAAATAAAGTGTTGTTGACAAACAATTTTTATAGACACAAAAAGTTTTTTATGCCCATCTTCAGTAAAAAAGGTTATCATCTAACTCCACTCGGCACAGTTTCCGTGCCCATTACTATTTTGTGTCTGTTTTTTTTTTTAACATTGGGCACAATAGATGGTGCCCTCTATGAAATGGGAATTGTTTAAGCTTTTTGGTGGTCAAACTGACACAAAATTCTCAATTGTGCCCTTTGTTTTGTACCCAAAGCTCATTTTTCTTGTAGTGCAAGAGTCGACATGGTTTTGGTTCTTTTGGTTTCTTCATGAGTAAGTCCTCCAAAAATCTATTTTAGTCACAACCATTGAAGAAAAAAAGTATGGACATGTCTGCTATTGAAATCGATTATTGCCCAATATGGTTAAGGAAAGGATCCGAGTCTAGACATTTACACATCCCGTATTTAACAGTTAATTCTTTTAATGCTTCAATTCTCTTTTAAGTTTAAACACTAAAAAACTAATATTTATAAGGATTCGAGTCATCACATTTACACATCCCGTAATTATATTCTCCTATAAAATATGGGGTTGCCGTTACTTTGACTCCTAAAATATCATTATGTGTGTAAAATTTCTAAACCTCAAGTAAATTTGAACTCAAATTGATTTGCTCATACCTAACAATTTTTAATTGTAAAGCCATGGTTTACCAATTAAAGGATTAATAGTTACACAATATTAGTGAATAAAACAACTGCCGGATAATATTTTAATTTATTTTGTTGATTGCTGGTCGTTCATACGACCATATCGAACAATAATATATATATTTAATTGTTCTCTTAGCCAAGAATAAGGCAGACTGAGAGAGAGAAATAATTCTTATCTACAAGTTGAAGTCACTATCCTCCACCCTTGCTTGGTGTCCTTGATTGTGCATTTCTTTGTCTTCTTTCAATCATTCTTTACCCCCCGAAAGATTATAAACAAAGTTTATTATCTCCACAACTACATAACCACCACGGCTTTTCGATTAACGACTTCTTATTTTAAAGGTGATTATCTCGATACAGATAAAATCGCTTAATTGTGCTAAAGAATATGTATTATCAAGCGTGTCAAATTTGTGTGTCTAAATAGCATTATTGTTAATTTATTTTAATTTAAACCTAATTAATAATAACATGGCTTAGAGTGGAGAATCTTCTTTGTGAAATTAAAACAACTAGCTAGTACTAATTTAAGGCCCCTCCTCCTCCTCTCCAAATCCTCTTGCCACTTTCACCAAAAACCGAAAACAATGGGTTACAAGCTCTACACAATACAAAGCCCCATTTCACAGCCGCCACCGCCTCCTCCGTCACCAAAAACCAACTTATCCATGCTGTATTACGGCCTCATAGTCTTTGGAACAGTTGGCATAATCCTAGCCATGTACAACCTTATCTTCATCAAATGGACCTCGAGGCGCCACGGCCAGTCTCCGGCGTCAAGACCATCAAACAGTTTGGTTGATCTCTCAAGAACAAGGAGGGGTAGGAGCTTTGAGAACTTGGGCAGCTTCAGGTACCAGAAGAAAGAGGAATCAACGACAAAAGATGAAAATTCTGTTGAATGTGCTGTTTGTTTGTCAGTTTTTGAGGATGGAGAAGAAATAAGAAAGCTGCCTACTTGCAAGCACTCTTTTCATGCTCCTTGCATAGACATGTGGCTCTACTCTCACTCTGACTGCCCGATCTGTCGCACGCCCGTGCCCGTCAGCTCGTGGTGTCATCCGCAGCTGACGACTACGCCGGAGGACAATTCCAGAGAAGGCCTGCTAGTCTGAGCTTTCTAAGGTTTCATTTTTCTTTTCTTTTTTCGTTTCTTTTTTTTCCATTTACAGAAAAAAAAATTCCCATTTTTTTAGGGTTTTTGTTGGGAGTTTGTTGGTTTGTAAAGTGGGACGATGGTATCAAGGAGTGCATGGTAGAAAACAAGGATTAGGTGGAGAAATTTTTACCAAAGTATCAGGAATACAAGTTACGTAATATATAATTCCACGAGTTATAATAAGATAAACGATAGTCTTAATACATTTTTTTAAAGTATATTAATACAAAACAAATTTACTTATTGTAATTTAAGTAAAATAATAACTTTACTTAGTCATATTCAAGTACACTGAAAATTGCCCGATTAGATGAACATTGTAAACATATTTCGCCATGGTTGGATACAAATTTAAACTGGCACTGTATTGTATATGATACTGAAATTTTTGTTGGTTCTTAGTCATGTTAGCTGCAACTGCGATCACGATTTCCTTCCGTCATCAAAATGTTCGAAAATGCCAAAAAAATTCAACAACTTGAACAGTTTGCAGTGAGTTCATGTGATTTCTGCAAAGACAATGTATCATACGCTTGCAACTGTATTCAATGAAAATATCATAACTCCATTTTCAAAAGTTTGAGGGTTCTTTCTTGTAGTAAGGATTCTAGTATTTTAGCCTCCACAAGATAAAATTTTGAATCCCGTCACTGTGCTTACAACTCCCAGATCGTCAACGCATTCAAGTTTACAACTTGCTTTCTGCACCCAAGTTCAAATCTCTCTCGTAGTTTAGGCTAACCCTTTTGAAAGTTGGGTTCTCTAGCTCGATCTCACCATTACAAAGCATGTGCATCTCCTTACATTCATAACATCTTTGTTGTGTACAAATTTACCGAAAGTAATTTGATTAAAATATCCGCGTGTCAAATCTTGATTCGATAAATTCCGGCATAAATTTTTCACATATATTACAATGCACAAAAGAACTCTCACCTCTCACACTGCCAATAATATACCAGAAATTGAAATCTACATCCTTCTTAAATTGTCTAGCCTCGCCTGTAAATCACTATCTATCCCACCGTCATCAGCTCCGGCTGCTGCTGTTTCCACTTGTGGAACTTTGTTCTTCGCAGCCGGTGCAGCAACAGCAGCCGATGGTGCATTAACAAGCTGCAGAGAATAAGAGAACAACAGAAATGTTATCGCTGCTCAGAAACTTTAAATTCGTCAACCACAGCGGAGAGGAAAAATGTACGAGTTCTCGACTGATGTAAGTACCTCTTGGTTGACGTTAATTCCAATCTCATCAAGAACTTGGCTCACTAGTTCGTCGGTTTCCTCCTCTTCCTCATCTCCTTCCAGCGCATCATCAATAGCATCGCCCATCACCTCAGTTGTCAATTCCATCTTCTCATTCTGCCTCTCAAATTCTTGCATAATTTTCTGCAGTGATGGCAAGTTCATCTGCCTGTTCATCTGGCCCATTGCCTTCGTCACTCCCTTCATTGCCTCTCCCATAGCTTGTGTGGATTTCAACGTCTGAAAGAAAAAAGTAATTCTAAGAATACAGCTCATCCAATAGGATACCAAAATAATGACTGAGCTACCCTTCGTTCACATGGATTAAAGGGCATAAATCACAGAATGTAGATATACCTGAATTCTGAGAGATACACCCTGGAGTTGAGATTTGAGCTTGTAGAACTTTTCAATCTGATGTCGTGTTCGAACAAGGTCTTTCGCCATAACTTTAACAGCTCCCTGAAACAAAGTTGGACAGATAAAAAGCACAGTTAGGCTATGCGACCATCAAACCAAAGTCTATACGCTACAAGGTAAAAGCGGAAAATGTTCTATGCATGTATAACACCAACTTCATAACTAAAACTCAGAGACAGATAATTAGGCAATGATGAGCCGAGGGAGTTTAGGTCTGCGGTCAAGAGTAGCTCAGCCACAAAGCACAAACAGAGGAAGATACTGAAATCGAGCCTCACGAAAAATAAAGCAAAACAGCAAATAGCAGAGAGAAAATAACACACCATCTGCCCTTGCTTGGCACTTTTCTTAATCTCTAGAATTAGTTTCTTCTCTTGTCCTTGGAGAGCTCCTCTCTCCCTCTCTATCTCTCGAATAGATTTGTCCAGCATCCTCTTGTTTTCCCGCAAAAGTTCTAAAATCACAAATTCAGACCCAAATATACAATTTCAGCTTATATAACAGTAATTCTCACAAAACAATGATACGAATACAAATTAGTGTTACGCGCCCGAAGACAAGAATCAAGACATAAATCAAGTCTACCGTCAGATGGACAACATCATACAAAAATGTACACAAACTTTATGAAGCAAACAACCAAATTACCAATTGAGCAATCAAACTCAGATATCAATATGCATATAGCAGCGTATAGTGTACAAACGAAAGGTTCGCAATTGTATAGATATCCTTCTACTTCAAGTAGTTAGATTTTCTTCATTTTGTATTCACATAATCCAACTGAAAATTACACATCACACCGCTACTCCGGATATCGAGTGGAATTTCTGGTCTAAACCCTAACGATGTCCCATACGCATACACATATATTGCAAAACAAAGAACTGGCGGAAAGCATTGACAGACTAGATTGACTTCTAATGGATTAAATCTTATACCCCTTCCAATTCAGCTTCCTATTCACAATTAACTACACAGCCATAAAATTTTGAGGAAACAAAAACATCATTTATTTGATTATTTGATTAACAAATAAATTGTTTAAATTTCTCGGTATTGCTCCAATTAGTCTCTCTACAATTTCCAAATCTATTAAAACACAATACAAAATTTCACATCAGGAAAATAAAAAAATCATAGAAATTCAACAAACCAAAACCCTAAAACAACATAAAACTCAACCAAATTGATCAATCTACGAACCTGCGGGCGTCTTCCGCTTGCCGAAGAGGAAACTCATGGCGCCGGATCGAACGGTCGAAACTCAATCTGAAACTTCTCGGGTTTGGCCTGGATCGGATCGAATCGTCTCTGCGCGCTTTCGATTAGAATTTTCCAAAAAAGGATTGAATTCGTCGGCTTTTGAAGGCTTTCGATTCGTCGAGCTTTTCCCTTCACGCGGTGTGTTGGTGTAGTGGTTAAGGGATGCAATCAGCATCGTCGACGACGACGCACCTTACACGCGGCAACTCTCGAGTGGTGGGCCCCGCACTATCGTTCTTTTGGCTCGCTTATTGTAAATCTAAGTTTTTCCAAGGCCCAATGGGTTTTCTGTAATTGCACTTTTGGGCCTTGACTGATTCGTGGGCTTTAAACCGAGGCCCAATTCGGGGTCGGCTACTTTGTCAGAAATTGGTTGGTTTTACCGGCACGCGGGAAAAGGCGTCTGGTGTTTTAACCTCTTGTTTGTTTGTTTGTTTTAAAGGCCGAGTGAAGGCTGCACATTTGGAGCTGACGGCAAGAGAGGAGAGCACAGAGGTGCACGTGGGGAGCATTGATTTCAAAGAGACTCGGAAGACGCAGACAGGTTCACGTGCGGGATTGTCCCAATACGTGAGAGCATACTATACTATTCTTATAGCAAGCACGTTTGGAGCCCAGGGTTTCTATGGGAGTGCTTTTATCGAAAGCACTTATCTCGTAATTTTTTCAAAAAATTGCTTTCAGTGAAAGCTTATCGTAAGCTTCATAAACATTTGAGCGTTTCTTGAAGAATCGAAAGTCATTCACACTGTAAACTTGGTAAAACATACTAATCAAATTGGTTAAATTAAAAACATAATGACCAAAATAGACTTTAGGTATAAGCTCAGTGAACAAAAAAGTTTAAACCTAAACAAAAACTATTTTTCTTGAGTTTTTAAAAAATGTTTTTTAGTGCCACTTTGCGAAACCCCATCCCGAATTATGTATTTTGTCATATTAACGGAGTTATGAAATGACCAGTTTGCCCCCTATCACTTACCCAATCCGGTTTCCTTTTTGGATTTTCTCCAAATTCTTCCCCTCTCCTTTGCTTGCCACGTGGCACCACCCTTCACCCCCATCTCTTTTCTCTCTCCTTCTCTCCTTCTCCCTGAGCCCTATCTCTCTCTCAACACTCTCTCTTTCGCACACTCTCTCCCTCTCCCAATCTACACACACACCATCATCACCACCTGTTGGCAGTGACGACGACCCTCAACCTCGACCAAACACCCAACTCTTCCTCTCTCCTTCCTGACACCGTTGCAGTCACGGTACAAGCATTTTCCGACGAAGGTAAGTCGAAATCACCCTTCGATCTCATTCCTATTCTAGATTGCTTGGTTATTGAATGGAAAATGGTTTTGGTGGAGGTTTAAGCACGAAAACAGCTCGGGGAAGTATTTTTCAATTTTCTGGCAAAATACCGTAGGTTTCAGGCCATTTTTCGGTCGTCTCCGACTTTAACTCCAACCCATCTTGGTACGACTCAGATCCCTACTATTTTATCTTCATTTTGGCTTTTGTATGATGAAATTTGGTTAAGGTTTGAACCCAAAACGGAGTCGGGGAGATTTTCGGCCAAATCTTCGACCTTCTCCCTCGCAAAACTGAGTCGAGACACAAACCTAAGCCTTGGGCCGAGCTTTCAAGCCCAGAACCCAAATGAAACAAGGCTTTTTAGGCCGTAATGACTTGGGCCTTTGGCTCATTAAACCCTCAGCCCAAACCCTTAAAACCCAAGCCCAAAGCCCTTTAAAACCTAGCTCAACCCTTAACCTGAAACCCAAGGGAACCCCGGCCTTTGGGCCATGGAACCGACCCATTTGAGAAGCCCAATAGGCCGAGCCCAGCCTACTAAGTCAAGCCTAAAACCCTCAAGCCCAAACCCAGAACCGGCCCAAACCCTGAGCCCAGCTATGCGTAGGCAGGCGTGAGGCCGACCCGATGCCAATGCATGGAGCACACACGCCGACGGCGGCGCCGGCAACTTTTCCGGTGACCCACGGCAGCGCTTGGGGGTACCTGAGGTTCCCCTTATGTTTTTCGACGTCCTAAATCCGTTTATGATGTTTGTTTCCTGAAATTCAATCGTTCTAATAGAGTTTTATTAATTGGACCCTGTATGTGCTTAGGTGCGACTATTAGCGACGATTCTATCCTTTCTATTTCACACGACTCATCGACGACGGAATATCTGTGAGTTGACCCTTTCTAAAATACATGTTTTAATAGTAGAAATGCATACATGAAAAGCATGATTTAATGGT